TGTTAGGAATAGCTTGTTAGTACCATTCATCTACTACTCAGGATATTGTCTCAGAAACTCCTGAAATCTGAGTGACTGTGGGAGTGGATGCTGCTTGGGAACTGCCTGCACATGTGCTGGCACCCTTCAGGTGGAGAAAGCTCAAAACATCGTCCTTGTTCCTGAAGTGCTTTGTTTACATCAGAGGCCCTGGTTTGTGTGGTTTGTTGCTTGGTTTTTTTTGTTTTTCCCCTCTGTGATATGCATATGGAACTGGCAGTGAAGCAGACGCACTGGATTAGTCTTACCCTCTTCTCTGGAGGACGGAAAGTTTCTTTGCTGGAGGTTGCAACTCTGAGTAAGGTTTATTGGTTGTTACTGTGCTGCCAAAAATTACCAGTGTTATGGGCCCAGCAGATACTTGCTAGAAGTGCAGTGAACCCTGAGCAAGCAGAAGTGGTATTCCTGATACTGCTACCAATATATAGGTGAAGTGCATTGGAAATGAGATTGGACTAAAACACACAGCTGTATTTTGCAGACTTTAGAAAGTAATGGCAGTTCTTTTAGCTTGACTTTACTTAGAACTGTGTGTTTGGAAAAAGTTGCCCTTATGTTTTGGGGTTTTTTTTTCTACACTGGTAAGACTCTTCCACACCAAGACAGGTTTATAGACAGGCATAATCTTTATTCTTAGAATAAATATCCTGATCTGAAGCATTTCAGTTGTTAGGCAAAAGAAGTGTTTGAGAACTTCCAACTGCCTGTGCAGGTGGTACCACCTTTTGTAGCAAGCAATGGGACTGTGTGTGCAGTACAAGGAACTTTGTAGATGACTTTCTAAGGCTGTTCACATTGAAGCTAGTATTTTTGCCTGGTGTTTGCATGCCTTCTTGGTTTGTATCTCTAGTATCTAAACACAGTGATTTGTGTTGCTTGGGCAGGCAGTTGGATTGCTGAGAGCAGGGAGAGGAAACAATTGATCGGGCTACAACGTCAATAACCATACCCAGTGGCAGAGATAAAATGGTCCCCGTATTGTGATCAATGACGTCCCCTACTAAGTAAAAATAGGGTTCTGGTGAACGTAGATGATGTTTCCTCTGGTCCTGCTATGTATTTAGGTATTTTTGGTACCTGTCTGTTAAATCCAGGGTCACTCATCTTGTCGTAGGTGGAAAAAGGTGTTACGTTAGGATATGTGTGGTGTGTTGTAGGGTAAGCGAAGGGCCAAGAGGAAGGATGCCTTTTTTTCATGAAGACTTTGTTATGCAGATCTGAATTTGCTTCATCTGTATATAGCTCTGGTACGGAAGTGTGAGCTTAAGAGAGAGAGAAGGCAAATATTTACTTTATATAAGTGTGTGCTGAAACCTATGGTTTTAGTATATATGATTTAAGCAAAGTTTGATAAGCTACTGATGAAAGGGAGCTGCCTTGGTAATGGCTATGTAGTCTGCTTTTAGATCCCTATCTCAACAGAGGTAAAGGTTTTTCGCTTAGTTCTGCATGGCAGAAGATACCAGCTTTTCTTTTTTTTAATTGTAGTAGTTGATCAAAAATGCTGCCTTGTATTTTTCCAGAGTATCTCTCTGCATCACTCCTAAAAGACTGAGTGCAACTTGATCTATTTGGTCTTACTGCAGTAAATGTTATTCATCTCAGTGACAAACTCAGTAATAAACTTGCCTGCCTACAGTAGTACTTTTTCCTTCTGTCTATTTTGTTGTCCAGTAGATAGATGTGTGCTATGATGGGAGTGTTGTAACAGATTTTTAGAGATCTTGTTATGCAAGGACACGAAAGCAAAGTCAGCTATTGAAATGGCACATAAATGTTCAGCTCTACAAATCTTGAGCTTCCTTTAAAGCTGTGCAAATTATTATTTTTTTTTTCTTTAAACTGCTGGAATAATGTGGTTAGTGTCACGTTCTATGTAGAGATCTATGACACACCGATCCCTGATACTGCATATAAACTTGTGTCAGGATTAGCTAGTGTGTGGATGTCTTTTTGTAGGCCAGAACTTGGATTCAGAAACTTGGCAAATAATAATTGCTTAGGGGTACACTTGCCTTAGAGACACAACTAAAGCTACGTAGGGATAAGTAGTGGTAAGCTCTAATCCATTCTAAAATTTTCTGAAATAGCTTTGCTGTATTTTGGGGAATTAAAGGAAATTCTTTAAATTTCTTGTGCTTACTTATAGAAGAGTTTTTCCATTTTCTGCTTCACTTGTTATTTCAGACAGTAACTGTAAACATCAGATGTTATCACTGCCAGTAGCAGACACTGTCTACGAAAACATGCTGCTGACTTCAGAAAGTGCAGCCCTTTAGAAGAAACTAAAACTGAAAAGTAAAAATCACTAAATAGGACTGGGTTTTAGCTCAAACCCAGGACAAAGAGTTTTTCCATTTTCTGCTTCAGTTGTTATTTAGGAACAAAATCAGTGCTCTGCAGCTTAACTGAGTTTACTACTGTGTAAGGTATAGAGGGCTTTGAAATTAGAGGGAAAAAGTAACTTCAGATCTTCCTGCTGCACCCCTTTAGAACAGTGAAAAGCTGGCAGAAAATGCAGAAAACGTTGCAGATCTAAATAGGTAGCCAGCTTAGATTTAAATGAATTAAAATCATTTCTGTTACTGGTTATGGCACCCGTGGAACTCTGGCAACCAGCCATCCAAGTAGAAGGAAGTCAGTGCAGGTGACTGGAGGCATCATTTTCACAGCTGATGTTTATATCAAAATTTCATTTAAAAGTGTTTAGTGTGTGTGGTTTCCTTTCACTTAAATGATAATCCTAATAGTTGTCAGATGTTGCTGAAAGTTGTTTAATATTAATGTTCCTTTTTGCTTAGGAGACCATATTTTTGTCAAGGTAGTTGTCTTCGTACCTGATTCAGTAGCAGTCATGCTGAGAGTTTTGATGTCTTCACTATGGCTTCTTTATTCATGCTGCTTTCAGTGCTTCCCTATTTTAATAAAAGTTTCTGGGATTATACTTAATTGGTTTGTCACTAGAAGAAAATCAGCACTTCAAGCAGTTAAATGCAGAAAAATACTAGGTAGGAAAGACATGAAGATTTTTGTCTTCATCCTAGTTATGAAAAATCCATTATTCATTATCTTACTGTTTTTAAATACTGAAGGACAATTTTCCAACACAATAGCAAAATTGCTTTTGAAACAGAACAAATTGCTTGCCAGTTCAGAGGCTTTATTTTGAAGTCAGGATTACTAAACATGATGGTGCTTGTGCTCATTATCTTCACTACTTGGTGAAGCTCTCTATGCAAACGTGCAAACCTAGATACTGGTTGTGGGGAAAAAAATACTTATTTACAATAGCAAAACCCCTCCTGAATTACGATTAGGACAGCAATGTACTCTGCAAGTATTGCCACTTTTACAAGAGTAATTTAAATATTATGTGTGTCTGCATGTTTCTCAGCCAAGTCTCTAATAATTCTCTTCCATTAGGATGTTCGTGCACGGAAGACTTTAACCACATTTGCTGCGTTAACTTGGTGTGTAAAGGGTATTATTTTCTGCGTCAGACAGTTGTTAACTTTGTCCAGAATTAAAAAGGACCTATTACTTTGCCATCTCTTGCTGCATGTTCCAGCACAGCTCGTGGATTGGCATTTCGCTGGCTGGTGTTACAAATACACTGTTAATTGTTTGGATGTCTAAAAGCAAAACACAATGCAGCGCAAAGTTCTGTGTTCCAACTGTGATAATGTCACTTGGAAATTTAACCAGGAGAGATTATAAAAGCTTTGTGTATGAATCTATTTAAACACAGGCCTATCTTACTGGAAGTCTTAGCGTAAAGCAATGGCCTAAGTTGGGTTGTTTTTTTTTTTAAGCAGTGGTTTTATTGCCTAGTGTTACGATTAGCCTAGTCTGAGAGTAATCCATGTAATTTAGTATGATAGGGATGGTAACCAGTAATAACTGCTCTGCTTTGTGAGGAGTGTTTTGTATAGTGTTTTTTCTTAATGGCCATTGATAGTAATGGGGAGGGAAAACACTGTCAGATTGCATCTGATGTTTAGTTTAATATGGCAACTTTTTGCAAACAACACTGTGAAGATCAAATTTGTCATGTTTGTTTAAGCTTTATTTTTGTTTTGTTGTTTGTTTTGGGTTTTTTTTGAAATGGATACTTAAGTAATTCTGAAAGCATTTTCCATGTCATATTTTCACATAACTAACTCCAAGTTTTAACAAATTTACGTGGGTTGGTTTTTTTTTTTTAGTTTGAAACTTATGTTTTCTTCAATGTAGTTGGGCCTTTGCACTATTTGAAAAGACAAAAACTTTTCTTCACAAGATCTGACAGGCTGAGGGTTCCGACACGTAGTTGACTTGCAGCTGGAGAGAGAGTGAGTGTGTGTCTGTGTGTGTCAGTGTGTGTCTGTGTGTGTCTGTGTGTGTCTGTGTGTGTCTGTGTGTGTCTGTGTGTGTCTGTGTGTGTCTGTGTGTGTTTTCCTAATTATGCATTATTTTCTGTTCTGCCCATGTTGTTACCATCCCTTAATCATGTGCCATACCAAGTGATTCAAAGGAGGTGCTGAAATTGGGGCCCCACTTGCCAGCCAGAAGTGGAAGTGTCTACCTAGTGACTGATTAACCACTAGTGGGTTTTGGTTTGATTTTTTTCCCACTCTCCTTGCTTACTAGATCTTCTTTTCAACTGTGTTGATAACAATTTATTACACAGCGCATGTGAAGTATGTGGTGTACCTTTGCGATAGAAATCCAATACTACAATACAGTCCCTCCCTCCCTGTCTCCCTTTCCTGACAACCAAGGAGGTGAATGACTGCTTTAATATATTCCTGGGTGTAACAGGGCTCAACACAAAAAATCTAGGGGAAAAGGAAATGGTTTCAGGTTGTTGTGTTAAATACGCAAGAAGTTGAGAATATGCAAATGCAGTGATGATGCTTTTTCATGCTTAGTCACTTTTATCTTAAAATATTGGGTTTGTCTATCAAGGTTTTGGACTGACTATGGCTCGGGGTGCTGTTCTGTGTCAGCAGAACTCCCCTCTGCTCAGGCAGGACCACCTGGCGCTGGTGGCCGTGGATCATGTCCAGATGACTCTTGAACATCTCCAAGGATGGAGATACCACAACCTCCCTGGACAAGCCTTGTCAGTGCTCAGTCATCCTTATGGTAAAAAAGTGTTTCCTGATGTTCAGGGGGAACCTTCTGTGTTTCAGTTTGTGCGTAGATGACCTTTGCATGACTATAACATTTAATTCCTTTTCAAATTTTCTTCTAACAAATATTCTTATCAGTCCTTCTAACAGTCTGGGAAAGGAGATGTGAATAACAGTGCAATTTCTTTCAGTCATCTTCCCTATAGTATAAAAATATGAACTAAGTTACTCGGTTTACATGCACTTAGGGGAATATTCTTGTCGAATATTCCAGTGTTTCGTCCTGGCATAAAACAAGGCGTTCCAGAAACGTAAAATTGAAGTGGAGAACAGTTTCTGGAGAGGAAAGGACCATTGTTAGCTTAGTGCTGTTTCCATGGGCATATCTTTTTTGACTCCCTCGGTGTTTTTTTGGGTAGAGTTGCAGATGTAATTGTAAAGTTTTAGTAATTAAAACTAAGGTACCAGTGAGTTGTGTGGAAAGCGTGCCTCAGGTAGAGGCTCCCCCCCGCCACAGGACTGGACATCAGGAGAGCAAATCAAAGGATCTTGGTGGAAATCTGATCTCTATGTCTGTGAAAACTTGGTCATCTGCTATAAAATTTGCCAAGTAACTTCTGTTCAAAAAAATCTTACAAAGGATCTTGGAAAAGTATGAAATTTCAGCTCTCTATATCCAAATTATGTAAGAATGAAGAATTTCCTTAGGATGATTGACAAAGATTGATTGCAGACCTTTTTGCTATATTATATATTTTAAACTCAAATCAGAATTTCCAGTTGATGTGTTAGTACAAATGCACAAGATGCTTAGTGGAAAATATCTCTGTAATAAAATTCCATATCACAAAAATTGTTACTTTTGGAGGTTCCCAGTAATAAAAAAAAAAAAAAATATGTATTAGCTATTTATTTAGTGTTTTCATTTCATTTTGCCAGGTACCAAGTGGAAGATGAGTCCTCTCATTTGGATGAAATGCCACTAATGATGTCTGAAGAAGGCTTTGAAAATGATGAGAGCGATTACCACACTCTGCCAAGAGCCAGAATTTCACAGAGAAGAAGAGGCTTAGAATGGTTTATCTGTGGTGGCTGGAAGTTCCTTTGCACTAGGTTTGTACTTTTTCATTAAATGAATTGAATACCAGTGCTTTTTATTAAATAAGTAACCAGTAACTCTGTATTATGTGATATGTGCAGGGTATGGGAACAAAATAAGTTGCTTGTCATGCGCCTTTTAATTGCTTTGTCCACGTTTTCCAGCCGTTAATTAAAAAAGTTCTGAAGAGCTGCTGCTGTGTGGAGCTTCTGGCTGCTTTTCTGACCTGCAAGAAAAAGAGGCTTTTGAGAGAGATGACGTAGTAAACTTGGAGTAGTCTGAGGTCCATAATGTGGCGAATAAGCCTGCTCCTCCCTTCTGCTGAAAACCATGTCAGGGTATCGCAGAGGGGTTAAAACTTTCTTTTACTTTTTGAGGCATTAGTGTCTTAGGTTGGCAATATAGAAGTTATGTTGCTGGAAAGAAAAAGCAAATTAATTAACCAATGATTAGTTAAAGCTTCAGCCTTAGAGAATACTTGGATGGTTAAGAATCGTGGTTTTTTTTTTGTTTAAATGATAGAACTTGAGTCAAGTGAAGCGATATATTTTACCAAGAGCGCTTTCAGTGGACTTAAATGATGAGTGCTTTTTCTGACAGATGATTTTAGAATTGGTCTAGTCTTGACGTGGGGTTTTTGTGGTACTTAATAAATTCCAAGAGGCCAGGTACTGTTGTTCTAATGAAGCAAAGCTATATTTAGTTTTGAAATATTTTTCTTATGCCGCTTGACTGTTTGCAGAAAAATATAATCTATGTTTATTTCTTTTTTTCTATAATGATTTAAAAAAAACACCCTGTGTTTTGTTAGTTTTATGATAGCAAATAAGTGTTTTGAAAGTAGCAGGAAGAAGTGACAGAGTTTGTATACATGAGTGATTTGTGGAAGCAATGTTTCTGTTACAGAAGTACTGCTGTATTTTTTTAAAAAACCTGCATTTTTAAGTATTTAATGAGGCTGTTAATCTTTTGGATGGATTTTAAAATTGAGATACCTTTCAAAAACATACTGGAAGCTTAGTGAAAACAAGTAGACCAGTAAAGACTGCACCTTGGAATTGTCCCGGCAGAGAATTTCCACTGTTTGGATAGAGGCAGGAAATTGTAACATGAATTTGTGGTGGGACTAATCAATAGTCGTAGCAAATGTCACAAGGAAGTGCCATTAAAGCTGAGAATTGCAAAGTGTCAGGTATTCACTTGCTTTTTAAAATTGAATGACTCATCTCAGCTTTAAGCAGAGCTCAAGCCTAGAAATTTTCAAACTTATTAGAACTTAAAATGCTTTTTGTGATGGATTTTTGAGAGAGAAGAGCAAGGAAATTGCATTACAGATTCCTTGTTTTGCTGCATCTTGTACACATTGTGTTGGTGATGTGGGTGTGTAAAGAAGAGCCTTCACTAAGAGGCCTTAGAGGTGTGTGACTTCGGCTTTGCTGATTTCCTCAGCTGAATTTGGATATCATAAAGAGTCCCTTCAGTCTTATAGCTGGAGGCATTGTAATCACACTGGTGTTTTCCATACCAGAGCATTACAGCAGATAATTTTCTTTCTTCATGGAGAGAGAAAAAAGGTTTCTGCTGGACTTGAGAGCATATTGAGGCTTCGTTGCTGATAAAAGTTGGGGAGGCATGGTCAGTGTGAAGTTACTCTTTCTGGTGGTCTCACATTCTAACAAAACTATGAACTTCTGCACAATACCAGCGTTTTTGAAGTGCCTCTTTGCAGTTCTTGAAGGGGCCTAGGATCGTAGAAACGGGAAACCTGGATGCTCCTGTATTGCTGTACATGCAGTTGCTACTTACACTGTGTAGTAGAATGAGTTGCGCTGGTTTTGTGTGCTGTAAATTATCAGTTTGGGATAGAACTGGATGCTTTCACGCTTGAAATGGAGAGGAACATGTGAGAAAACAATTTTCATGAGTGCTTGTGGGGGATTGTACATGTTCTGCAAACAACTGCAGCTTACTTCCAGAATGAAAACTGCCTTCTCTTAAGTGAAATGGGAGATTAAATTCAGCATAGCAATCTGAAACCTGCTTGACCGAGCAGAATTTGAAATCTCACCCTGGTTTTACGGAAATTAGTATCTCGTACCTGAGACCGACTGAGGTTGAAATCTCAATTTCCACATCCAGATTGTCCTTTTGTGCTTGAAACTAAATTGTAATTTTTTCAAAGCTGTGACAGGAGGATGAACACAATAAAAGACCAGGCATTTGTCTGGAGCTGAGCTCAGGGGGCCCCTGATTTCTTTAGGGTTCTCGGTGAAAGTCTTGCATTTGTGTTCAAAATCACTTTACTTGTTGCAAACAAACAAAACCTCCCATACCTACGAGTTTTTCGGGTTTTTTTGGTCTTACGTTGTTAGGATTAATGTCATTTTTGTGAGAGGACGTTTTCCATCTCTTATTTTGCAGCTTTAGAATTCTGTTTTCCATACGTTTAGTTGAAAAAGTTTAACCCTTTTGTCAGGAGCAAATATGGAAGGTTTTGAGAAGGCTCACTGTGTGTTAAAACTGATTTTGTAAAAATCCTTTGTTGGGCTTTTAACTTCTGTTTAGACAATAGACTCGTTGATCGGAACTGACTGGTGTGAACTTTATTTGCAAATCTGCAGCTCTTTACACAGTTTTTACGTTTGCGAGGAAAAATATCATAATTAAATGTTGCCTTTGACTTTAAACAAGCTGAAGACTTAATTCAACCAATATAACTTCAGAAAATGCTTATTTCTTGCGTTCATAGCATGGTCAGACGAGAACTTTGCATTATAGCAGCTGTAATCATTTCCCCTTTAACTTACAAATTCTCTTCAAGCTTGTGAAATTATAATGCACATAGATCAATACTCTGGAGTTCTTTGGGCTGGATTGATTTCTTTCTCATGAGATTTACATTCCACTTGTTATCAAAAACCACTTTGTCCCTATGAAAATGGTGCCATTGAATGGTATTTCCATATGAAGTGAGGGGGATATCAAATGCTCGGATTAATTTGGGCTCTAAGATGGCCTGTACGCTTTCAATTAATCTGCAATGCGTTTGTTATGCAGAAGCATGGGAAAATGCTGATCTTTGAAGAATGACATGACCACTGTGTTGCTTTTGGCCTGATTACTGAAGCTACCTGTTGAGTACAATAATTACAGTATGTTTTCTTTGCAGAACTAGTTTCTGCTACTTAAAACCTAATAAGAAAAAGCTGACCCTTGCAGACAATATAGAGCTTTTATATTATCTTTCCATTCTGATGAAAATGCTGTTGTGTGAAAGATACTGATGGCTAAGCTTGTAGGATAAAAGTAAAGGAAAGAGAAAATAAAAAACGCCTTTATTATTGGAGCTGCAGAGTCAGGTTGAGACTTTTACTTTAGCTTTTGACTTTGAGAGGTACGTTCTAGTTATGAAAAAGTTATAGACTCTTATTTAACAATTACTTCAGTGTTTTGGGGTTTTTTGTAATTTTTTTTTCTTAATATGTCATCATTTACTAATAGTAAGACTATTTTTTCTTCATATTAAAGAAGCAGTTAGGAAATACATTGATAAAGGAGCTATTTAAGAGAGATACCTCACAGTTCTTTTCTAAATTGGTTAATTTCTTTGCCTATATCAATACAACACATCGCATATACAACATGGATTATAGCTAGCTTAAGCAAAAAAGCTTTCTGTGTTTAATTTTCTAGGCAAGAGCATTTGAAATAAATGCTTAAATCAGTAAACAAGAACGTGATTTTTAATGGCTGAATCCATAGCATAGGATGTGGTTTTACATTAAAGATTCCAGGAAAATTTGAAGTGTGTCTTGATCATGCTGCATCTTACGTTATGTTTTTAGGGTGTTTGAAACTCAGAGAATGCTCTTCTGATTTATCTCCTGATGTTTGCTTCACACAAACTTAGTGGGTACAGAAAGATTTTTTGAGTGTGTAACCTTGCACAAAAAATAGTTTCTTTATGGAGGAATGTTAGTTTTCAGAACAGGTTAAGTATGTGTTTGGTATTGGTAATCTGAATTTTGAAAACATTAGGTAGACTTCAGTGTTCTTAAAAATCTGAATTAAAGTAAATGGATTAGGATTTCTGAGAGCAGCACATCCATCCCTTAGTCTTCCTGTGATGAAACAGTGATTACTGCTGTGTCTGGGAATGGCAGAATTGAACTGATTTTTACTTTGAAGGTAGTATAACTCATCTCATTTGCGCCTAACCTGCAATGTTTCCATCATCTGTGATTTTTCTCGTGGCTGAGAAGTTGCACATTGTTAGCTCTGCATCAGTCAGATCCCTTTTATCAGAGGTGCTGTGGTTGTTTCCCAGTCAGACATGATTCGTCTGTGGTTTTGGGCATTTGCTACACTAAGCTGTGCCAGCTCCTCTGTTGATCTGTAGTGAAAAAAGTAGTTTCAGGAAGGGGAAACTCAGTGGCAAGGAAGGCAGGATAATTCAGTTGTTTTGGCCAAATGGTTGACTGTTAGCAATAGAGAGAAGTCCTCCGTGTCTGAGGTTGTTCTGTGAAAGAGACTGTGCCTTGTCAAATGGTCAGTCTGGTTACAGCTGAAACCCAAAAGCTGATCTGAGCAATTTGAGATTTCAAAGGCTGTCAGGAGATTTCTGTTGATGGGCTTGTGGAGAGAAGCTGTCATGCTTGCTCGCTTTCCCCAGAAAAAATTAGTCTCCTTGGAACTTTTTTGCTGCACAGCTAAGCTGACTCTTCCATTTGTCTTGTCCTCTCTGCCCTGGAAACGAATACGGTTAAAGCTTTAATTCCATGAGCAGATTTATTAAGTGTGAATTCAAACTGGTGCTGAGTGGAACCACTCCGCCTTCTCCAGCAAGCACATACCCTGCATTATTTCAACCATTTTCCCAGGTTTTAAAGATCAAGGTGGGTCTAACTGAAGATAGTACCCGTTTTATTCCACATGAGCTCACAGACGGATCCGTGGGCAGGTCTGGTTTAGCCCTGCCGTTCCACGAGGAGTTGTGTCAGCGCAAGGGAAGGGATGAGAATCCCCACCGCGGTTACGGCAGGAGGGTGGAACAGCTTTTTTGGCAGCAGGATGGGTTTGTGGCTGTTTGATTGTGGAACCACGACAGGGAAAGACTGCTGCTCTAATTTTAAGGACAAATTAAGGAAGTGGTCAAGGTAACTTGATTTTTCTGACTTGCATGTTACTAAATATTGGGGCTGAATTTTGAATGTTGGGCTGATGCTGTTACAATTTTGATGACAGAGTAAATTCTTTGTTTCTGTTTAAAAGAGATGGGGAAAGTTGCTGGACTGGCTTGTATGGGTAACAAATAAAATGCATGTTTACATAGCATCAAAGCAAATTGCTGTCCATCCTGTGGTGAGAGCATCAGGGAGGAAACCTGAAGAATCCAGCATTTAAAATTGAAGTGGTTTAAATGTCAGCTTGTGTGCACTGTAGTGACATTTCTGTAACAAGTTGAGTGTTACTTCGGATGGTTTTACTGTTGCAGGCTTTTTTTAAAGAAAACTAGAAGTGATACAACTGAATTCCGTTTGTTGTTTGGCAAAATTAGTTTGTGATAGGGCTGGGATAATGCGGGCTACAGACACGACTGTTTGAAGCAGGTTTGTGGAGACATAAGCTACCTCCGCAGCCTTCCTTCCCCGGGGGTTCGTGTGTGCCAGGGCTCTGTCATTGTGGAGAAGCAGAAAGAAAAGGCCCTTAAGAGGTCCTCATGTTGTTTCCTTGCGTGCACGGGCTGAATCACCCCTGCCGCCTCTGTCGGATCTAAGCAGGTCTGAAACACCAGCGGTGGTAGCAATTCCAGCCTCCTTCAGTGTTTCTCCAGCCCTAACTGTCAGAACCATTTACTCAGTGTCTATTGTCCCTGCCTCTTATTTGCCGTGATTGAAGCCCATCATTACTTAATGATGGTGGATGGAGGGAATAATTGTCCTTTTCCTCTTCGTGGGCAGTTCCTACATACGTGAAACGGCACTAAGTCCCTGCTCAGCCCGCTCTGAGCAGCTCTTGTTCTGTCGGTGTAGCCAGTACCTGCTCCTGCCCTGCTTCCCAGACCTGCAGTTGTTCCGTCGTTCTTGCATGCGGTCTCAGTTTTCCCAAGAAGCCTGTTGAAGTTTGGGGTTCTCAATGGCGTTGGCAGCCAGCTGAGACCTTGCCAGCACTGGATTGAGGAAAAAAAGAATCCGTTCGTGACTTGCTAGCCGTGGGCCTGTCCGTGCTGACCACAGACGTGCCCTTTTTTGCACGTGTATTTCATTCTCACGCTGTAACTGAGTTGTCCTCTGCTGAGCTGCCATCTGCTCACTCTTTTCCAGTTTGCTGTTCGCGTAGCTGGTTGTTTCTGTGTAAATGCACTCTGTTGTGCCTTTGCGTGTTTAACTGCATTCTGTCTCTTCCAGGTAGTTTTTCCAATCTGTGAAGACAACTTTGAATTCTAATCTCTTTGCGTGCACTCTTGTCTCTTTTAGCTTTTTGTTGTCTGATAAATTAAATATTCTATAGTTAATTACACAGTAAATTCTAGATACAACTTTGCAGAACTTAAGTGTAATGATTTTGGTTTTGTAACAAGCTACTCTGCAATTATGATTTTTCCAACTGCGTTAGTTCCAAGAATACGCTGCTTTTCTTCTGAGAAATTTCTTGAGCGCTAAGTTTTACGAGAGACATCAAATCATAGAATGGTTTGAGTTGGAAAGGACCTTTAAAGATTGTCTAGTCCAGCATCCCTGGTGACAGCTAGTGACTTCTTTCACTAGATTAGGATGTTCAAAGCCCCAAGAATCAAGGGAGGACATATGTTCTCAAGCAGTAGTGCATCTGGTTCTCCTTAGAGGAAAATCAGTTCCATTTTAGGTGTTCCTCTTGACACGCCACGGTTGGTTATGACTTTTTCCTTCAGGTGTCTACAAATACATACAAATAGTTTGACTGTGCAGAATTCACCCAGGAAACAATGCTGAGGTGACCGGCTCCTAATTTTCACCTCCTGTTCTCAGCAAAATCCTCTGGCTCATTTGTTTATTTTTTTTTTTCCCCAAAAAGCATTTGACAGCATTAAGTGTGCTTCCCTCTTATGTCTGTTACAGGCGGTCTTAGGGAGGAAACCAAGATTTACAAATTTTGTGGAAGTTATATGCAAAGCTGGTGAGATTTTTCTAACCTTATGTAACAGCAGCCTTATTTCCTCTTCGCTCGTTAGTGTAATTTGAGTATCAGCAATACAGGATAAAGAGTTTAGCCAAAGGACCTTAAAGTATGATGGATGGGTCAATTATTTAACAGTGGGGGAATTTAGCCCCGCTAATGCAGAGTTACCTTAAGTAGAATTTTTTGAACCTCTGTCAGGGCAAGGTGTAGTGAAACTTGTCATTATTTTATTGTTAGATTTTCCTGTAAAGAATGTGCAAGTGTTCATATATGTATATGCCTGAATGAGCCTTGAATATTACAAGTCAACATCATACTTTTATACATTATTTAGACATGACAAAAGTTTTTAAGCTTGTTTTCCTTAGGTGTTTGCCTTGAGGGTTCCAGGTTTGGAAGGAGTAATCACATACAGTAAATTTTTAGTTTTAAAGTAAACAATTGTTTTTCTTTACAGTTGTTCTGACTGGCTCATAAACGTTTGCCGAAGAAAGAAAGAGCTGAAGGCTCGCACAGTGTGGCTTGGGTGTCCTGAAAAGTGTGAAGAAAAGTACCCCAAAAATGCCATAAAAAATCAAAAATACAACATCTTTACCTTTATACCTGGGGTAAGGCTACTAACCATTCTTTGGCGTTGGGCTGACAATATGTTCTGTAGCGTTTTTTGACAACTCTGCAAAAAGATAATTTTATTTGCCCCGGATTCTTCTTTTTCCTTTTACATTTATGTCGATGTCTTCAGTTAAAGTTGATATTGGAGAGCAAGGCTGTGGGGTTTTTTGTTTTCTTTTTTTCTAAATTGTTTTATTTTCAAGGGATACTTACTAAAGAGTAGTTGGAATTCAGTGAAGCTTTAGGTGTTTGAGATGGGTTCCCTTGCACTTTGCTATTAACCTTCAGAAATGTGTGATCTTCTTAAACAGAAGCACTTTTACACAGTCAGTTGTAAAAATACTACAAATTCTCAGGTTTACATTGAGAAATATAGTTGAAAATTGCAATGCACTCATAAATATTTTCTCATGCTCCCTGCCGTTGAAAGCATTGTAAATCACATATTCTGAAGCAGGCACCTCTGCAATTTATATGACAAATAAGGTGTAATTTAGTAAACCAGTACTTTTTGGAATTGTATTTCTTATTTCAATTTTAAAAATAGTAGTGTCGTTCTAATTTTTGAACACAGTTTTTCAGACAATACTTTTGCTGTGGAGTGGAAGGTTTTTGTCGCTTTCTTCTAAGAAGCTCTATTACATCTGAACTTCCTTTTTTCTCCTGTTCACAGTGTATATGAAGACATGAGACATTACAGTTGTGTCTAGTTCATGCTTTTTAAAAAAATTATTGTCATAATGAAATACAGCAATAAAAACAAGTTCTGAAGCTTCAGTTCTAACCTAAAAATGCTTGCTGCTACGATACTATAGATTTTACTAATGCAATTTTACTCATACTTTTAGTAATTCTGCCTGAGAGTCCCGTGCCTTCTGGAAAACCAGAACGTTTTAAAGCATGTCTGTATTCAAATGTCAGTCTTAAATGTTTTATTTAAGCTGGTTTATAACAGTATTGATTCTCTTCTTCTGCCCTCTCTGGTCCAATGAATGGCAGGTGCTTTCTAATACATTTCTTTATTAAACCAAAAAATATTAATGGCTTTGTAATTAAGACTGATCTCCTGTCAAAGAAATAAAATGTAACTTATCACGGGTGGATAAAATATTCTCATCTCTATGGAACAAAGTAAATGCTTTCTTCCGAATTTTAAATTATTAAATACACCGAAATTTGTTAAGCCATGTATGCTTTCCTAAAGGTCACAAAATTCATTAAGCATATAGTAAAGCCATTGATTATTGTGACTAGAAGTCTGCAGTGTAGATTACAAATCCTGAACTAGATTTGTGTTTCCTGCAGGGATCAGCCATAGCTGATTTCTGTTGAGAAAGAGAGTGTTTGTTCTTTCTGGATCTTTTGAAAATCTTGGTTTTTCAGTAGAGGTAGAGGTTTTTATGTTGGTGGTAGTATTTGGAAGCTCAATAGCAACCTCAAAACGAAGTGGGATCCTAAACGTAACACCCCCAATAGTTGGTGAGAAGAAAATGCTCCTAGATTTCAATTCTACATGTAAATTAACTCTTCTTAATGATTAAAAAATACTGTGTCTCTCTCTGGTTTCTGTGGTGTTCTACTAAAGTAATAAAACCTGCAATTCTAACCAAGTCATAAGTATTGACTGTGGTGATCTACCCTGGCTGATCCATCAGGTCAAGTCTTGTCTCCTCTCTGGAGTTGTATCTTTCACCCATTGCCAGTTGCGATGTTAAAATATTCAATGATTCCTTACCAAAATACAAGCTTAAAATAATATTTAGATTAAAAGAATTTTACTTACTGGCTGCAAGAGCTGTAACATTTCTGAAATGTCATCACGTTTCTGGATGTTTGTATAAAACACTTACGGCTCCTGCCTTTACACCAGTTTGTTCAATTCCCATTTACGGCTTCGTACACATCCGGCTGCTCCGGAATTCTGTGTATGTGTTCATCAGGATCCACAATGGGCAGGTTTTTAGGCTATTTAGGGGGCCTTGAGCTGACCAGTAATGTAGCACTTCTGCAAGGAACTGGCAGTTTTGAGGTACTGCTACTTTGTGGTGCCAGAGAGAAATACACTTCAAAATGATCTTCCCTTAATTATATTTTTTTTCCTAGAGCATAGGTTTTTACATACTTGAGTAATAATATTGGACTGGTAGCAGCAATAAATATCTGTCCAATAACTTCAATTCAGTTAAGAGGTCATTTTAATATTAATGGAATTGTAAGATTAAAAGATGGAGGTGTTCTTCAAATGTGGCTTTTTGATCTATTTTGAATCTTTTTAGCTTCGAAACAGTTACCTGTTTTGTGCAGTCTCGGTGTTCCAAGACCAGCAGCCACTTCTGATGGTCCTGCTGGCCTGCTGAAGAAATGTGCAAAGTCTTTGAAGGTTCAAAATTCTGTAAAACGACTGGTGTCCTTAGCATTGTAACTGAAGTAGCGTTGAGAACATGCACTTGGCTGAAGTGATGCTGTTAATTGCCAAAGGAATCTCTGTCGCTGCCTTTGGAATGTGGGGCGCTGTATTCTGTGACAAGATCACCGTGTCTTCACTTAAAACTTAGACGATTGCCTTGGAATTTAGACTGAACCTTTGAGTTACTAATACACATATCGTAGGTACCCATGTTTATTGCAAAATAACCTGTTGGGAAATTTAACGCTGAGCATTTTGTCCAAGTTACCTCAGAGGCCCACGTTGGTCTGTTACAGTTTTTTTTAATGAAAACATAGAAGTGTGGTCACTTTTGTAAAAAGCTTTCTTGCTGTGGACCCTGGAGAATACTGCCTTAGCCCGAGTTTTGCAGCAGCACGATCCAGCCTGCTCACTTTAGTTGGTCTGTACAAGCTCACCTGACAAAGACTGACATAATGTTTTTATAAATAATTTCTGTTCCTTTGATGCCAGCGTGGTTTTAAAAATATTACTGTTTAAGATATGAAAATTTTTAAGACAACAATTCATTATGAGACAGAGCAGGATTTAAGTATTTTCACTACAGGAAAAATTAAGATTTTACTTTCAATGCCCTGTTTTTAGGAAGAAAAGTTTCAGTGGTTAAAAGGGAAACATTAATATAAGCAACGGAAGTTCAGCTACTCAAAAACTTAATTTTGCTTTTTCTTATCCTACGAAAAGGAAAACTTTCAGAAATGTTTTAACTCATAACCATAAAGGTAACTATTGTGGATATAAAATTATTGCAAGATGCTTCTACGAATACCTGAATTCTATTTACTGTTAAAATTGCAGAGTAAACCTTTGCACAGTGATCTAGCTTCAGTATTTGTAAAGACTGCTGGATTCCCATTATCTGGTTTTGAAAATATCAAAGATCTAGCAAATTGTTTTTTCAGAATGAAAAGTAGCATTGGTATAAAAGGATTTTTCTCAACAAAAATAGTAGTATAATATTAAAGTAACTTACAGTGCATGTAGGAGTTCGTGATGATATATAGCACATAATACCACGTGTAATATTGTTGTATAATGATTTTATATCCACTATCCTGAGAAAGTGAATTTTATTATGCATTATGGGTACAGATTTTATTGTGTTTCTTGTGTTTTTTTTCATTTTAGGTTTTATATGAACAGTTCAAGTTTTTCTTGAATCTCTATTTTCTTGTTGTGTCGTGCTCGCAGTTTGTGCCGGCGCTGAAGATCGGCTACCTGTACACATACTGGGCCCCTCTGGTAAATGGAAAAATACTCTTAGCTAGAAGCATTGGCAAAGTCCATGTAGATATACGTTTCATAAATTTGTATCTGGTAAATAACAGTAATTGAAGGTGTGTAACAGAAATCAAATGCTGATTTGAAATGCCAGTATTTGACAACAGGTACTCCAGCATCAATTTTGCTAACCAGCTAGTGAGTAGTGCTCCTCTCTGGGTGCTGCTAACTTGAGAAGGTTTAAAAAAAAAACAACCCTCAAAAAACCCAACAAACCAAAAAACTTCTGCAGTTTGTAGAGAACCTTACTTGGTAATGTAGGTAATTCGTGTGTTTTCTTTCTGTTTATTGTCATTTACTCACTATTTTGTGTTTTCAGGCTAGGTCAGAATTGAAAGCATACATTTTTTTTCTGCATTCTTGGTTGTCTGTTTTTCTCCCCCCCCACCTCCCCTCAAAAAACCGAGATAAAAATATTTTAAGCTGTGGACAAAGCAGGAGAAAAATGGGTCTTGAAAATAAGTTGTTAATTAAACATGCTTTTCCTAATTGATTACCCTGCCAGTCGCACTGACTTCCTTTCACTGTGTCTGTTATTGAGCTCTCTGCAGCAATTTCTTGGGAAACTCTTCAAACCCATTGCTTCGGACTCAGGTTTCCTGAGGTTTGAAACTTGTATCCTCTTCAGAGGAAGCCCTGTTGGTAGTCTGCCAGCTGTATTCCCATGATTTGGAACAAGTTTCTTGTTTGTAACCAGATCATTACCTTCTCTTTCATCTTCCCCTTGGCCCCATCATCCAGATTTAAAAGCAAGGCAGGAGGAACAAATGCTTTATTTTCTAAATTTATAAAAACACGATGTTTTTCAGTAGCATTTATCCTCAGTGGTATTCAGGAGGAACAGTGACATGCTGACTGCTTGGGTAAAGGTCGTTCTTAACAAGTCAATAGAGTAAATATTCTGGATTGATTTCATTGTTTTAACTGTTGCAACATGTGTCCTTGTAAGTATTGATAAACGGAGACACTGTCCTGGAGGTTCTTCACACCTCTGCTTCCAGACAACTTTTGGCTTCTGCTGCAGCAAGAAATGCTTCCAAGACGGAAAAGCTCGCTCAGCAGTGGGATTTGAAATGGATATTTGCAAAGGTCTTGGTTGTTGACCCAGTAAGAGAGGGCAGAATTCAGCCTCATCTGGAAGTTGGTCGCTTCCCTGTGAAGTGCAGGGTACAGCTCTGTACAGTAGTGGGGTAGTGGAGAAAAAAAAATTAACATCTCTGGTCAAAGAAGGGAGAAAATACTGTCTTTAGCAAACACTGATAATCTGTTCTGTGTAGACAGGCTTGTCTTGGTCAAGGATATTTTGAATGGTGATTCCCAGTTTTCACATACAGCTCAAAAATAAAACAATACCTTGGTGCTAGTGGTGCCGTTTTTGCTTAACTCGCTTGTTTCTACTCGAATAGCTTTTCTACTAATAATGAACCTCCAGGTAAAAGAGATTAATTGGGTGTTGAGTAAGGCTCAGTATGCATGATGGAAATATAAAACATTTAAGTCGGACCCACTGGGCTGCCTTTGCTGCTTAAACAGACAAGTTTGGTTTTCTTTGAAGAGCTGCTGCTGATTTTTCAATAATAATCAGAGCAGTAGTTATGACTTGGCTTGTAGTTTTGTCTCAAAAATTGCCCAGCCTGGTATTTAAAACCAACTGAATTGAGGTTGACTGTGTGCTAAAAGACTTTGGCGTTTTTTGGGTGTTTTGTGTGTTTTGGGCTTTTTTTGTTTGTTTTATGTCTTATTTGTTTTCTTTTTTATTTCAATAGTTTTTACAACAAGCAAACATACACTTAGAGCAAGCACTGGAGGACCAACTCCCTTTTTCTTCGTCAATATTTGTGACTTTGGCAAATAGCTACATTTAAGATGGCCAAAGTAATTAAACTAGCCATCTGTTTACCTTTTTCTTTTTCTGTCTGTTAGGAAAAAGACAGTGAATTCAACATGAGAACTGGAGACTTCTGCAGGTTTTGGTAAAGCCCTTGAATTTGCAGAAGATAGGCAAATAATGCTTATTGAACTGTAAAGGCCGCCTTGAGCTTATCCGGAGCATTTTAATTTTTTAATTTCAAATTATATCTAAATGATGTGTATTTGGAGAAGTAGCTATTCAGTTTATATTCGTGCAGTACACAAGTACGATTTTTCCTTTTTTTGTGCTAAAGTGAGATATTATTTGAACAGATTGAAAAAACCCACTAAACTGCAAATGAGAAAGAGTAAATTTTCTAAGCACGTGTTCTTAGTCTCTGTAGCATTCCTATCTGTGTATTGCTATTCTAGCGCTTCAAGAATTCTGAATTGCATAATTATGTCTTTAACAGGGATTCGTTTTGACGGTCACGGTGGCGCGGGAAGCCGTTGATGAATTTCGACGTTACAAGAGAGACAAGGAAATGAACTCCCAGTTATATAGCAAGCTGACAGTACGAGGTTAGCAAAACCATTTGTATAAATCCTGAAAATACGTCATCATTTTTATATATGTTTCCAGACTTACAGTTCAAGGAAATAACTAATAGTCCCAAGCTGCACTATTCAGACTGAAACTGATACTGAACGAAATCAAGTGCTTGGTTTCCCTCAGATAAATACCACTGTTACGCTTGATCTGTTTACGCAGTGTTGTAAATCTTTTGTTGTTCATAAAGGAAAGGAGTATGTGTACAACTGTATTTTTGAGGCATTCTGCTGTTTAGTATGACTACTTAAAGTGCAGTTCTCCTCTGAAATTGATACCAAACAGTAATGCAGCAACAGTCATCTCTATATCAAGTGTGTATGGGAAATAAGGGATCTGCAATTAAGAAATACGATCTAATTAAAATTCACTAGAGCCTTTCAAGCTTAGTGGATGTATTTGTGCTGAAGAGAAGACAGATATGTTGTGAGTCAACTTCAGTATAAAAAAAAGTATCGATTTCAGTTTTTACATAGAATTTCAAATATATATGATCGTGCAGTAGGAACAGACAGTTTTCTTTTCAGAAGTTAATAAAAGGAGAATTCAGTTATAATTTGTTTTGGACTCAGAACCATTGACAGTTTTTCATGAAGACTTCTGAGGAAATAAAGTCCTTCAGCTGTGAAGTGACAATTAAAATTTTGTAGGGTATTATGAATTCTAACTATGGGCGTAAGAGAAAAAGCTACGTGCTCCTCTCCACTTATATGTTGCTTAGCACATTTAATTGTTTAGATTCATAACAGAGTGCCACAGAAAGGTGCCAAAAATAATTAATAATCTCATGGAACAGCATGACCGTGCTCTGGCACTTTAAAGTTATTCTGCTACAATATCCAGGGAAGACCCCGTTCAGGATTTTCCATGGCATAAAAATTTGAGAAAGTAGGAGGTCATTAAGGCACAGGAGGGTGCATCTCGAGCACTTGGAGTATGTGGCACACGCTGTGTCAGGTGTAAATTCTCTTCGCTGATTCCCAGCATACCTTTCCATGTACTTTTTAGTGTATCTTCTGTGAGTCAGTGGGAAGAGTAACCTCACCAGATCTGGGAGTCTTAAATAAAACCTAAACTCTTGGATAAGCTCTGGATAATATTCTCTCCAGAAAAAAGGGATGAAGAGCTTGTAATGTAACACAGGTGTGTTCTGTCTGAAGCCATACCCTGTTTTTTAAAGGAAGTGGAAGGCAAGTAAACAGGCAAGAGTCTCATTAGTGATGACATAATGTGGGAGCCATGAGGAATTTATTCTGCTTCCCTTTTGGCTTTTCTTTCAAGTTAGAATTTAGCCAGCTAGTTGGTTTATTAATGTCTTGGGTGTGTTGTGGTAGGCCCCCTTGTAACAGATACTACAGTCTTTTTGAATGTTAGTAGTCTGAAATTCTTAGTTCTTGAAGCGCATGCAGAGTTTATAGTTACCAGTGTGGCATGGATGTCAAGACTAATGTCTGCTAGTTTAAGAGCTAAGTTTGGTGCCCTTTGTGCTGCTTTTTTCACTTGTTTAGAGTTAATACCAGAGTTTTTGTGAGGTATTCAGCAGCAGTTAAGTACAGGTTTTCAAGTCCTGATTTCCTCTTTCTCAGTCCATGAAATCTTTTGACGTTATGTGTATTTGAGAAACCTTTTATTTTGTAGCTTCTAGAAATTCAGAAGCTGTCAAATTAAAATTGGATTTAGTGACCTTGACACAGCTGTTCTCTAGACATGGAATAGAGATTTAAAAATAGTATGCAAGAGTATATAGGTAAAGCCCAGTATTTATATCAGGAACTGATGCAGAGAGGGCAGTGACTTGTTCAGAAGTTTTTAAAATGCTCTTTTTTAAAAAAAGGGTATCAGTTTTTACTCCCACATGTAAAGCATCTGACACCGTCTCCCAGAGCACCCTCGTAGCTGACCTGAGGCAGTGAGGTCTG